AGATGAGTTCTTTGTATTGTTCTAGGGTGAGACCACTCAGTGTACAGTAACAATGTAAAAGATATTATGGAGCAAAAGTACTGATGCACCAGGACTGTACCTAGAGTCGGGATCCCAGGAAACGGTCCTGAGTGCCAGTCCACACTGGCTTTTAAGCATTTTTGGCTAGGGTGGGGAAAGGGAGAGGTTGGGTGTTGGTTTTAGCCAATGATTGTTACAAGAAATATGTACCTTAGCTGGGTACTGGTGGCTCATGCCTATAATCCTAGCTACTCAGGAGGCTGAGATCTGAGGATTGTGGTTCAAAGCCAGCCCGGGCAGGAAAGTCTGTGAGACTCTTTCCTCCAATTAACTACTGGAAAACTGGAAGTGGCTCTGTGGCTCAAGTGGTAGAGCACTATCCTTGAGCTAAAGAGCTAAGGGACAATGCTCAGGCCCAGAGTTCAAGCCCCACAACAGACCAAAAAAAAAAAAAAAGAAAGAAATTTGCCCCTTAAGTTTAAATTTCCAGCCAAGGGTTTTCTGGCAGGAGACTCAGGAATAGTACAAAGGGTGGTGAAGGCTCAGCTGGGTTAGGGCGCACATTGTCCAGAAAACAGCAGAAGCAGGGTTACAGAAGCTAAAATAGCTGTGGAGAAACCACGGTTACATTTAAATCTTAAAATAATCCATTATCCATTTTATGCAATCCAAGTCAAATATTATATTCCATCCTTACTTCCTCTACCATATCAGGATGTCCCTGCTTGCACATTTATGAAGATCTTATCAACCACAGCAAGTCACAGAACAATGTATATGCAAGTTGTAGAGAAATAAATGATCCAGACTTCTCAATGGGAAGATCTATATAAAACCATATTACAAAAAAGTATGGAGAGGGCTGGGAATGTGGCTTAGTGGTAGAGTGCTTGCCTAGCATGCATGAAGCCCCAAGTTCGATTCCTCAATACCACATAAACAGAAAAAGCAGGAAGTGGTGCTGTGTGTAGAGTGCTAGTCTTGAGCAAAAACAAGCTCAGGGACAGTGCCCAGGCTCTGAGTTCAAGACCCAGGACTAGCAAAAAAAAAAAGTATGGATAAAGGAGAGGAAGATTTTAGGTTTATTTTAAAATTTTGTTTTGTTGTAAAGATGCTGTACAGAGGGGTTGCAGTTACACGAGTAAGGTAATGAGTACATTTCTTGTCCAACCTTGTTACCCACTCCTTTGTTTTTTCCCTACTATCTCTTCCCTCCCCTACCCTTTCCCATTTCTCTCCCCCTCTGAAGGTGTAAAGATCATTTCCAACATAGTATCTTGTGAGTATCATCGATTGTTGCAATGGGTCATCCTGTGTCCTTGTTTCAGCATTTTTTTATTCCCCTTCCCCTCCTCAAATTAGATATACACAAGATGCAAGGTACCAAAATTAGGCTTTCAAAAAAAAGTTTTAAACTTTATTTTTAAAATTAGGTTTCTCCTTTGGACATGGTCAATGCTCACTCATTTCTTCAACGTAAGTGAACTTGCTCCTTCTCGTTGATCTATGGTGTACAATTACATGGGATGAGCTCATTATCCAACTAATGCCTCCCTTTTGTGTTCCTTGCGATGTTTTGATTGGAACTAGGCAAACCTATTTCTCCTCTGCTGGCTGTATTCCTAAATTATGCCAATAGAAGGCGCTAAAACACCAAAGATTGGAAGAAGAAAGAGACTTGCTCCGGTTTGCCTGTTTGCTTACTTCTCACCATTTTCCCATCAACAGTTGCTATATCTGGTCTTAGGTCTTTGTTCCAGAGGCAGCTGGCGATTTTTGGGTCTTTCTTAAACACTCACAATCACATAAAGAAATAGAGACAATAGTTGTCAATTTATGAAGGTATTTGGTGAAGTAGAAAATAATCTGATGAGAGAGGAGAGGAAGGGAATGGAAGGGGGAGAGAAAGGAAAAGAGAAAGAAGAGGAGGAGAGTAGGAGGAAATCATGGGGGAGGGAAGAAGAAAAAGGCAAAGGGAAAGGAGAAGGGGGGTTGGAGGACAATGTGGGGTAACTGCACATAAACATTAAGAATTTAACCCAACTTAATAATACAATGTTAATATGGTTTAATATATAGTTTAATATATCTTAGCACAAAACTTTAGACTTTAAAGTTGCTAATCTGGCTATGATTACTGTCATTTTGAGTCGATACAAATAGCTTGTATCTACAATCCTGATCCCTTATACCAGTACATTGCAAAGAGATATTAACCAAATTGGGTAACACAATGTTTTGTTAATTTCAACCTAGTAAAGAGTTGGTACATTTCCTGGAATTGAGAGACTGGGAATATGCAGGGGAATTCCCAGCTGTTTACTTTTGTCTCTATGCAGAAAGTCTGGTGAGCCAGGATGAGTTAGAGATTCAACCTGAAAGATGAGAACCTTTACCTCCTCATCATGGAGCAATTCACCTGTATTACATAGCTTCCTTCTCGTTCCCAGATATTTGTCTTTGAATTAATTTATACATTATGGATGTCATTTGAATGCATTAGGATACTGGAGCCTGGGACACCTAGGGACTTGGAGTTACAAAACCAATCACAAAACCAACCAATCGGAAAGCAAAAATCTCCAAACTTGTTCCTCTAGATCAGAAAAGGATTTGAAAGGATCCCTAGGGAAAGAATAAATGTCAATAATGCTGTAATCAGAGGTTTACACTTTAAAAGAATATTTAACCAACTTATAAACAAAGGGATTCAATGTAAAACTAGGCCAGGAAATTGAATTTAACAAAGTAGAACATTTTCTCTGTATAGAGTTAATGAGTGGTAAATGTTTCTAATAAAATTAACAGATAATCTGTAGTGATTAAAATATGAATTGTTTATCTGCATATGTTACAACATCAGTCAGCTTGTTTATTCCTTACAGAGCACAGAACCAGCAATGAACCCAATGTTTATGGTTCTTTAAATTTTTACATTGGCCAGGTGCTGGTGGCTCATGCCTGTAATCCTAGCTCCTCTGGAAGCTGAGATCTGAGGATTGCAGTTCAAAGCTAGCCTGGGCAGTAAAGTCTGTGAAGCTCTTATTTCCAACAAACTACTAGAAACCAGAAATGATGTTGTGGCTCAAGTGGTAGAGCGCTAGCTAGCCTCGAGCTGAAGAGCTCAGCACAGCACCTGGGCCCAGAGTTCAAGCCCCACGATCAACATAAATAAATAAATAAATTAATTAATTAATTCTTACATTGAAACAGATATGGTGGTTCATTCAGCCGTAGGCAAGGGAATCATGAATTTGAGGCCAACTTGGATTATGTAAGTGAGACTCTATTTCAAAACAACAATAGCAACAACACAGTTTATTATGCTCAATCCTCACCCCCAACTTGATGGCATTAGGAGGCAGGGTCTAGGGGAGATTATTAGGTCACGAGGTTGGCGTCTTCAAGAATGAGAGTAGTGCCCTGTATCAAAGAGACTTCAGACACTTCTCTTTCTCCTTCTGCCAAATGAGGCCACAGCCAGAAGACAGATATCCATGAATGAGGAAGTAGTTCCTAAATAATGAGCACCACACATTGAATCCTACAACACATTGAATTACCAGCCAACCACTGAATTGTGATAAATGAATTGCTGTGGTTTGCAGGCTTCTCAACTTCGGACATTTTGTTGTAGCAGGCTGAACAAACTAAAATAATACTTCTAGGGAACTAGTATTTTAAGTAATGGAATGCCACTGTCTGTTGTTTAAAAGAAGTTTAAAAGAAGCTGTGCTTTTTAAGGGAAAGTTTCTGGGGGATGTGTGCATAATGAGCCATTTGCTCCCTCGAGGGAGACAGGAAAATAAATTTAAAAATTAACAGCTGGTTTAGCATAACAAATTACCAAGAGATGTTGGAAAGAAATCTTATGATGAATTAGAAGTGAGAATTAAAAGGAAGGAAATTGAGCCCAGTGCTGATGGCTCATGCCTGTAATCCTAGCTACTCAGAAGGCTGAGATCTGAGGATGGGATTTCAAAGCCAGCCTGGGCAGAATGAACTGCTAGAATGGCATTGTGGTTCAAGTGGTAGAGTGGGCATCTTGAGCTGAAGAGCTGAGGGACAGTGCCCATGCCCAGAGTTCAAGCACCCTGACAGACCAAAAAAAAAAAAAAAGAAAGGAAAGAAAAGGAGGTTAGTAGAGATACAGGTTAAATAAATAGCCTAAATCTATTTTAATATTACTTAGCTTATGCAATGGCACAGGAAAAAAAAAAAACTCCTGAAAATAGACTTTCGGGTAATGTAATAGTACAAATCTTTGAAGAATAAGGCTTCAGTAAAATAAACATGAGCAGATTCTCTAAGGTGAACTGTGTGACTTTCAAGCCCTGGGCTTCAGTTTGCAGCATTACTCAGGTCCCAGAGAAACCAAAGGACTCAACTCCAGGAGTACTAGCCATCAATGACTATGCCATCCAACATGGAATCCAAGAGAAGCTAGTTGGCTGATATCCTATACCAATGCAAAAACAGTGTCCATCCTGTAGCATGTATGTGTCATTCATGTATAGCGAGCTCAATCTCTGCTTATGTCTGTGTTTTGTGCCTATCCCAGCCACATACATACATTTTCAACAAATGGTTAGAATGATAGTTTCCTTCTAGAACAGTCCACTATTGGCCTTCTTATGGAAAGCTTGGTTACTAGGAAAATTATTTTATTAAAAATATCTGAAACAGGAATTAGTGTTTGGGATTGTGGTGGACTCATGGAGTTCTTGTCTTAATTCTACATTTAGAACTTAGTTGACATTGAACAGTGCCAACAACAGACAAAGTCAGTGTGGTGATGTGTCTCTAATTGTCACTCATTGGTGTTGTGGGAAATGCTTTCTCAATACTGTGTTTCGTAAGATATTCATGAGGAAACAAACGTAGCTGATCCGTGGCAGTGATTTATTATGAATGTTTTCCCAGTGCTATACAATAGACGAATCTTGAGTTTGCCTTTGAAAGATCACTTCATTTTAGTTATGATTCCATTCCATTTTCCAAAATATTTAGCAATTTTCACCCTCTTCTTCCAGACTCTGGATGCACTGAATACTTTCAGGGCTGCAGTGTATGAACATGCTGTTATTTTACCAAACAAAACAGCAAATCCTGTTTCAAAAGAAGAAGCTTTGCTCCTGATGAATAAGAACATAGATGTTTTGGCAAAAGCAGTGAAGACAGCATCCAAGCAGGTACTGGCCTTTACATTCTGGCTGAGATATTGTATGTTTGGAACGAGACAACAGTGTGGGTGTTTTGGAATTCATGAGGAACTTTTGTTTTTGTTTGGAGCAGGGTGCACATATCATTGTGATACCAGAGGATGGAATCTATGGTTGGGTCTTCTTTACCAGGGAGAGTATTTTCCCCTATCTGGAAGATATACCAGACCCTGAAGTGAACTGGATTCCTTGTAGAGATCCCCAGAGGTAATGTCATGCCATTAACTTTTGACTTTCCACAAAGAAGTTAGCAGGTTGCAAATTGTCAATAGCTTGTCATTAAGCTTATCTAGTAATTTTGCTAGTAACTGAAATTTTAAAATGTTTCATAATGTGTGCCATCTGGCGTGTCTCTTGTTTGGTAAATAACTTCAGATATTGATATTTAATTGGTTGCAGTTCTCTTTAATAAAGTAGATGTGTATATACGTGTGTGTGTGTGTGTGTGTGTGTGTGTGTGTGTGTGCGTGCATGCGCGCGCGCATACTAGTCCTGGAGGGTAAACTCAGGGCCTAAGCACTTCTGTGCTCAAGACTAACATTCTATCACTTGAGCCACAACTCCACTTCTTTCTTTTCTGGTTAATTGGAGATAAGAGTCTCATGGAATTTCTTGCCCTGCTTGGCTTTGAATCACGATCCTTAAATGTCAGCTTCCTGGGTAGATAGGATTATAGATTTATAGAACCCAGCTGTTAATGAAATTTTTATAAGTGTTTAATTGAATTTTAACAAAGTGAGGAAGTGGTAATATGTACGATCTATGTTCTCAGAAATAGGTGAGCAGTTTCATTCTTGTAGGAATGCTAAAAGATGAATGATGAGTCTATGTTCCAAAGAGCTTTGCTATCTATCACCATGATTTACAATATAATCAGGAGGATGAATAAAATTGAATAAGATTTGAAACAAGAAGTACTTTTTCTGGATCCACATTTTACTAACTGCTAGTTGAGTAATATATGGTTTTATAACTTAAAATTTGACATTTCTGTTGCTTTATCTATAAAGAACAAGAGCGCTAAGATTTCTCCTCTGCTTCTTTCAGCAAGATAATAGTGTCAAGTGAAGTAATATGGAATCTTACCTTGGGATGACTTCTCCAATGTCAGCTCTCATTATAAAATTTTTTTGGGTGTGATATTTGAGTTGGAACTAATACCTTTGCATTTTCTCAGCAAATGCTCTATTCTTTGAGTCATTATCTATTCCTTAAAAAAATTTTTTTTTGTTTGTTACTTGTGGAATTGAACTCAGGGCCTGGGTTCTCAAAGCTACCACTCTACCACTTTGAGCCACAGCGCTACTTCTGGTTTCTGGGTGGTTAATTGGAGATAAGAGTCTTAGGGACTTTCTTGCCCAGGCTGGCTTTGAACCACAGTCTGCAGATCTCATCCTCCTGAATAGCTAGGATTACAGGCGTGAGCCACCTGTGCTGGCTTCCTTAGTCCTTTTTGCTTTTCAGGTAGTATCTGTGCTTGTCCCTGAGGCTGATTTTTTTCCATGGTTTTCCTACTTCTGCCTCCCAAATATGTAGAATTATAGGTGTATACACAATAATAATAAGAAAGCCTAATGAAATTAATTTATTTTTGTCAGTTGCAGGGCTTGAACTCTGGCCCTTGGTGCTGCCCCTGAGCTCTTCAGCTCAAAGCTAGCTCTCTACCGCTTGAGCCACTGCACCACTTCTAGTTTTCTGGTGTTTTAGTAGAAATAAGACTCTCACAAACTTTCCTGCCGGGGCTGGCTTTGAACTGTGCTCCTCAGATGTCAGCCTCCTGAGTAGCTAGGATTACAGGCATGAGTCATGGACGCCGGGCTTGAAATTAATTATTTTACATGAGTTCACTTACGTTTTAAAACCATTTTAGTCAATTCCTTTAAATGGTCGAACATAAAGTAATTTGATTTGCTAATTTTGTATTTACATACATTTGTTCAGAATTACATCTAGCACCTAAGAGAAGAAAATATTTTATTAGCTCATGCTGGCTCTCCAGCAGTATGCCCAGCTTTGGTTCTCAGCTCCACCCAGACCTGAGCTCCTCTTAGCCCTGGAGTTCTGCCCTTCAGCTGGCCCCTCCCTCTCTCCACCCAGACCCACCTGAGCTCCCACCTACCTCACTTCCTGCCCCCAGACCCTCCTGCTACCTGGATAAGGACAGGTACCATGTGCGCCCTCTTGCGGAAAATATGGATCCTCTAATAAACCTTCTAATCATCTTCCTCCTGTGCCTGCCAGCCTCCGTGTGGTCCCCTGGGGTGGATGTGAAGGATCCTTTCAAGGGGGAGGTATATTGTTATAATTCCACACATGTTTACAATATGTTCCGATCGATCTCACCTCCAAAGAGGAAATTCTTTAACAATTTTGACTATATAAAATTAACTAGAAAGTGAAGTCCAATGCTGTGATATTTAAGATCAGCTGGTGTGTCATGACTCATCCTGGGATTTTCCCTTTTGGACAAATATTCTATTAAGGTTGCATGGTCTGTGTTTATAGAAACCACAGCTAATGACTAAGTGTCATGTAATTAGTAATTCTAGTGAGTCAGTCTCCTGGTTTGCAGACTTTTCCTAGAACTGGGAGGAATCATTATTTGATAGTTGCTTAGACTAAAATGCAGTGTGTGTGGATAGGCTGGTAAAACTGGCTTTTCTGGGGGATCCTGATGAGTTAAAGCCTTAAATGGAGGGGGGACCAAGATGGCGACGGGGCAGTAGGGAAACGCCACAGCTCTCTCCAACCAAAAAGAGAGTTCGAGTTCCAACGCTTAATCTCCCCAAGAGACCGACAACAACAAAAAGACGAACACTCAGAGAAAAACCAGAGGTGAGAAATAACAAAAAAAGAAAGAGAAGAAAAGAATTT